ATGGCAAAATATAAGCTGGTGAGGCAGGAGGAATCAAATGGGAACAGATGAATGGATTTGAACAAAAGGAGTTTTGTTGTTGGATAATTAAAATAGAACTATTCTTTAGTGGCCCAAACCTGAGTCCTAGGCTGTAACCTTTGTCTACAAACAACATTGGGCTTTACCAACTGCCCCAACACCTTCTACACCAACTCTCTCTGTAGGCTATGGCTGGTCATGAAACCACCTAGTTTGACTGGCCAGTGGCACAGCCAGCATCTGTGCAGGCTCTAGAAGCTCAGGTTCCCAGGTCTCTTCTTTCTTATTCCACCAGTATTCAGTGTTTCTGAGGGCCCAGGAAAATGGTTGTGGGTTTGGCTGGGGATTGCTTGGGAATGTGTAGAATCCAAAGCGTGAAGACCATGTAAGACCAGAATAACCACCTGTCCTCCACCAGGAGACTGAAGACTGGTAATTGGAGCCTAAAAAGCAAAATTCAGGAATACCTGGAAAAGAGGGGTCCTCAAGGAGATGAGGACTCAGATCTTTGCAAAGTCACTGGACAATGCCCAGATTGTTCTATAGATTGACAGGGTATATTTTGCTGCTGATGGTTTTATGGTCAAGTGTGAGTTGGAGCAGATCATATGCCAGTCTGAAGAGTGACATCCATGGGCTTCCCAAGGTTACTGATGACACCAATACCACTTAACTGTAGCTGGAGATGGAAATTGATGCTCTTGGAAGGAGTTGATATTTGTGAAGGAGATTAAGGAAGAACTGAAAGGTCTATAGCCAAGAATACTAGTTCTGGGTTGACAGAATAGAGGAATGCCCCCAAATATCAGGACCTAAGCAAGATCGTGGAAGAAATGTGGACCAAGTATGATTAGCTGGCTCAGAAGAACTGAGGAAAGTGAAACAAATAGGTCCCAACAGAATGAGGAGAGCTGTAATCCCCAGAGATCAGAGTTCCTGAGATGAAGTTCACACAGCTGAGAAGCACAGTCCAGTCCTCAGAGATTGACCTTAATTCAATGTGATATCCAAAAATCAGGTTGGAAAAATAGCCTGAGGGATGTGGAAGTCTGTTAAACCATGCAGAGGGAGCAATTCAATAGGTCCTGCTATACCTAAAGCGCAGTCTGGCACAGACCAGGAATAAGAGACCCTATTGAACATCAAGGTCAAGGTGGAGGCCAAGATTGCCACCTACCATCACCTGCTGAAATTTGGAGAGGACTTCAATCTTAATGATACCTGGTCAAAACAACTCCTTGCAAACCATTCAAAAGATCACACTTCACAGGATTACACATGACAAAAAAGGCGTCTGAGACCAGTGACACAAAAGTACTCAGGCATTGAGGCAAAAGAAGCAGTGTTCCCTTAGGGGAGCAGGGAGGCAATAAAAGTTCAGAGGTCATTGGATATATGAAATTATTTTCCAAAGTGTTTCAATTGTGAGCACTTGAGTAGAATAGAAGAAATATGGGTTATTAAGGAAAAAAATTAACATTTTCCTGAACCAGGACCCACTACTAGTGCATATGATTTGTCCATGACCCAAAGAGGTTTTCTGACCACTAAATATAATGTTCAAGTCCTTGAGATAAACATTCTGTAGATATGGGTTGACTATATCAAATTCTGATAACTTAAGATCAGTTGCTTATTTCCTTTGATGAATAAGTTCACAAGAAATATTCTAACACCCATGCAGTTTGCTAGCTGGACTTCTCTGTTGGGGAGAAATGTTACTCAGTAGCCAATAGGAGTGTGCAGGTACATTTCACACTTATTTCTTCATTTGACAAATATTTTATTGAACTCCCATACAAAAGACAGTTTTATTTATTACTGAAATTAATTGGAAATTCCAACTTATTGATTAGTTTCTCCTGGATTTAGGACTTACAATTCTTTATTCAGATCCCATTCATCTCTGTGGAAGCTGAAAGGATGCACTTTCACAACCTGAAACACTTGAACTCATTCTCAGGATGGTGGGGAGTCCCATCCCATCCTAACTACTGACCTTGGTACCTATTACAGACGACTTATCTACCTCTTTGATTTCTTAATTCTCACCATCTCTTCTTATCACATTTGTTTGCATTTATTCCCCCAAACTTATTTTTATTTATTAAATATATTCTCTAGGCAAATCCTGGGACTGAGGGTTTCACTCAGGGGAAGAGATAGCCAGGGATATTGAAGACAAATAGCTAGAAAATACAAGAAAGACAATTCAGCATTCTAAAGGTGTTCTAAACATTACAATTTTAAAATAAATTCTATAAATGTAATGGTTTTCTTTTTGAGGATGTGAACACTCAGAACTACAAGTGGGGACGGGGTGAAGTACCATGGAGGCAAGTCATGCAATGGCCTGTAAGTTAGAACAGAGGCTCTGTGTGTCCACCCTGAGCTATGACTATAAGCTAAGGATTGTCCAGTTATTCTAATTTAAATGCTGATGAAAATGGAGCATATGAACTCTCAGTATTTCAGGCCCGAAGAGAAGAAGAAATTATCCCCTCCCCCAAGATTTGTAAAGGTACCCTTAATGCTGCATAGAAAATATGGGGAGGGCTGGGATTGTGGCTCAGTGGTAGAGCACTTGCCTAGCATGGGTGCAACCCAGGTTCGATTCTCAGCACCACATAAAAATAAAAGGCATTTTGTTGTGTTCCATCTACAAAATAGATTCTCTCTCCCTCTCTCTCTCTCTCTCTCTTTAAAAAAAAAGACAATATGGGGAAAGAGTAGTTGCTTAATTTACAAATTATCCCACCACCAGCACTTTTATTTCATTAACAGATTAAACAAACACATTTACTCTCACCAGGTGTAAATGTGTGTATGCATGTGTGCGTGTGCGTGTGTGTTTGTGTGTGTGTATCTCAAGTGCTATATTGACAAGTCCTATTCTCTGTAACATGAAAGCTTTGGGGAATGTTTTAAATGAACAAATACCACGGATAGGCTTCTAGACATACAAATAAGTTGGGAAGAATGGCAAATCTTAAGTGAGCTGTAGAGAGGTGCTGTTGGGCATGGTGATGCCTACTGAGTGCTAAATGTAGATGATCTTTTAAAGTTTCACTGTACTTACAGGAAGTTTATGTGCACTATCCTTGTCTCCATTTAAAGTTGTGGTTCAGTGGTGGAGCGCTTGCCTAGCATGTGTGGGGCCCTGGGTTTGATCCTCAGCATCACATAAAGATAAATAAATAAAGGTATTGCATCAATCTACAAATATATATATATATATATATATATATATATATATATATTAAAAAGAAATAAAAATAAAGGAAACCAAAGCTTAAACAGAGTTAGTCATTTGCCCAAGTTCATATGCACTCCTGTGTGCAGATCTACTTTTCTAACTTATATGTATTAGACTCCAACTTGCTGAAGCATTTAACATTAATAAATTTCCCTTAGCTGGGCATGATGGAACACCCTTACCCAGGAGGCTGAGGCAGAAGTAGTGCTTGTACCCTGGAGCTCAAGGCCAACTTGGATGACAAATCAAGATCTCTCCTACCAAATAAAAGTTCCCTTTTGATAATATGCCACCGTATTATAAATTGACTTTAGATATCCTCATGTACCACTTCACTTTGAAAACCCAACATCCTCCTCCTCAATTTCCTCTATTTTGAGAATTTAATTATCTGCCCACAGCAAAATGCCACAAAGATTCACATGAAAACTGAACCAAAGGGGAAAAGAGTCATAACATGTACTGATTTTTTAAAAAAACTTTTGTTTTATTTTTTAAGACTATTTTGACTCACTTTTAGAGACTTAGCATGTGACTAAATCTATTTATGTTCTAATAGAGACTTAAAAATCACTTTCTGGAATGGGCTGAGTAGAACAACTTGGGAGACATTGGATCATAAATTTCTGTCTTATGCTATTTACATATTTCTGCCATACTCTGCATCAGTTCCTCCATTTGCTAAAATGTAGTTCTTGAAACCCTTTATATAAATTAGAATGACACTGTTTGCTTTTGGAAGATCTTATCATGCATTCTTCATTCATATAACAAACACTATCTGGATGCCAGGGTCTGCAGGACCCAGTGCTGCACAGCAGGTATAAAGAGGCAGAAGAAATATCTCTAACTTAAGGATTTTATAACCTATATTTTTAAAAAAGCAAACTCAAAAACACTGAGGGGCTGTGCTAACAGTGAGCACTGGACAATAGGCCAGCCCACAGAACAGGCACCAGATCACCTCTTCCTTCTAGGGAAGGCTACTGAGGGCTACTTGCTAGTCAGTTGAAGAGGACATCTTAGAGTCTAGGCACGTCAGGTTCTGGACTTCTATCATTGCACCCCATAGATATATCTAATTACTCAAAGTAATGTGTTTCTGCTGTTAATAAACTTGGTAAATGGGCTGAACTCATTGGCACATGCCTGTAATCCTAGCGGCTCAGGAGGCTGAGGCAGGAGGATTGCAAGTTCAAAGCCAGCCTCAGCAAAAAGCAAGGTGCTAAGCAACTCAGTGAGACCCTGTCTCTAAATAAAATACAAAGTAGGGATGGGGATGTGGCTCAGTGCTTGCGTGTCCCTGAGTTCAATCCCTGGTACCCCCCCCAAAATAAATAAATAAATAAATAAAAACCCAAACTTGGTATATGGGAAAATTCTGACTGTAAACATTTCTTTGTTAAAATAATCATATATAGTTCTGGCCCATGTGAACTCACTGAGGGAACATGACATGTATTAGTGAACTTAGATCTGAGTGTTACCAACTGCAGTGTACCAGGCCAGGGTAATTTGGAAGTGATCCAATGCCAACTTCCCTCTGGAGTGTTTTGATCCACACAGTGACTGCTAAAACCTCTACAGATACTCAAACGATGTGCCTAAGACACACAGGAGAGAATAGAAATATGATTATAATTGATGGACAGGAAATACACTAGATCCAGAAGGGACCAATAACCAAGAAACGCTTTTTTTCTCTCTTTTCAAATTACCCTAGGGTTAATTCTCCTGATGTTTCTTATGATTTAACCCTGAAGGACAGCAGAAATAAGACAACCACTGTCAATTATGTACATGACACATTGTCCAACCATTATGGCTGGATGGCTCTGCTTTTGGATCAAGAGACCTACTCATTGCAATTTGAGAATCCTTGGATCAACAGATCTTTGCAGGTAATCCCAGGGATCCATTCATTGGTTGGTATATCTCATCCCCAATATGTGATTCTTGTGTTTCCTTCTGTGAAGTAATGAGTTGCAAATATTAGCATCGTCTGATGCTGGGGAAGAAAACTAAAGCTGCATTTTTACTAGGTGAATATAACTTGAATATGAGATTTGGTTGGTTTGTTAACTTGAACATTTCAGAATCTGCTTAAATCCCATCTTAAATGCAGAACGGCTCTGCTTGAGAGATTTAATTTATTAAATCAATGAAAACAGCCTTGCAGCATTATCTAGAACTGCATTTTTAAAAATTTCAGGTTAAAAACCAAGCAGTTTTTATACCCCAATTTGTAGCCAGAGAAAATGTTTTAAGGAGGCATTTGTACATTTCATACTGCCACCTTGTGGTCAAAGATTAACTTCTCAAGCAGAGGTCTCAGTCCACAGGCTGGGTGGGTTGAAGGAGTCAAAGGTCTTGGGGAGCAAGAAGGAATAGCTACATGGAAAGTGTGTATATTTTGGGGAAAAAAGTAATCCAGTGGATCCCTCAAGTCTCTTTTCTTCCTTTAACACAGTTCTTCCTGTCTCCTACACATTTCCTCAGTCATGATCCATGCCAACTTCCCTCTGGAGTGTTTTGATCCACACAGTGACTGCTAAAACCTCTACAGATACTCAAATACCTAAAAGAGCCTATTTTAGGGAGAGAGAAGCTGCTTTAGGTGCATTATGGTTATGAGGAATTCAGAACAGAATCTCCCGATCCTTTCACCACTGCCCTCAGCAAGTATATTCACCTCTCTTTCCTTCGCTTGAGGTTCCTCTGGGAACATTCTGGGGAGTTTTCAGAAAGTAAAGGTGGTGGGATGTGGCTCTGGAGGTGGGCATCCCAGGTGTTATTCTAGCTCAGCTCTCTCCTGTTTTATGAAACAAAGCAAGTTACTGAACCTCTTCTTGCCTCAGTTTCTTCCACTGTAAAATGAGACAGTAAGAGTAGCAATCACAGAGGGTCTTTTAAGAATTGAATGACTCTAATGACTAGTGACTGAGGGTGCAGTGATTGCTCTAACACTGCTTGCTGTTACTGTTGCAAATGCATGTCACTCTGTCATTGCCTGCCTCTTCAAGTTGTGAGAGAAAACTGGGAAGGGATTCTAGATGGGGCCCTGGCTCTTCTAGATGTTTGACCTGAGACAAGTCAATTCACTTGTCTGAGCCAGGGTTTTCTTCTTTGCTAACCGAGGTGGTTTAAACAAGATGAACTTGATGGCTTCTTTCAGTCTTCCTGTTCTATGGTTTTGTAGCTATGAAATTTTGTTTGTAGTTTTGAACTTTTTATGGAATAGATTTAAGTAGGCCCAGTTCCCACAAGAGAAGTTTTTGTTTCTAAACTACTCCATCTGTGTTCTAAACTCTTGGGTTTTTTTTTTTTTTTAGGGGAGAAAGGGGTGTTCTTACTAAATGATTGTTATTTTGGTGTTTTTTTTTTTTTTTACTTCAAGTATGAAGCAACATTTGACAACTTTGCTCCTGGCAATTACCTACTGCTGGTGCACACAGACTTGCCACCTCTGTCTGATATTCTTATAAGATGTGGGAGTCAGGTGGGTCAGTCTCTGCCATCTCTGCCATCACCTGGGCGGGACCACGGCTGTGACTGGTTCTTCAACAGAAAATCAAGGCAACTCACATATCTGGGTAAGTATTCAACTGGGGGAGCATTTTGAGGGCATTGAATCAGAAACCACCATTTATTTTTGAATTCTAGACTTTTGTGCTATGATGTGAAGCACTGAAGGGAACAGCTATGTATAATTTATAATTGAATGAGTAGGCTCTGAAATCAGATTGCCTGGGTTTAAATCCCAGCTCCGAGACTTAATAAGTAGGAGACACTAAGCAGGTACTATTTCTAAGTCTGATCCTCCCAATACCTTCTTATTGTTCATTTTTTCATAGGATCCCAATGTTAAGATCAGGATTGTCTACCTCTTTTGGCTTCCTGGAGTTTATGTCTCATTCTTTTTCCATCCTAATATCAGCACTGGTCACTCTGAGAACCTTGGTGTCCACTTGTACCAACCTCATCAACTCACTGTAAGACCACTTCTTATATGGTCTGTAAGAAAGAGAATCTGACAAAACTTATCTCAAATGATGACTTTCTCATAGATTGCTCTTAATAAATCCTGGTCAAATTCAGGGTACCTTGTCAGTATGGCATATCCCCTGCCACAAGCCACACTTGGTCCCAGCCCCTTGTCTTTCCCACCTATGCCTACCCATGTCACATCAGGGTCTGGGACTCTTCAGTTTTAATTGCACCAGAGAGGAGAGTCTGGTGCTTTTTCAGTTTCTTGCCAATTGGACTATCATGTTTTCTTTATACTGAATTTTACCATTTACATTTTATTTCTAATTTAATCCATCCATAAATATAACCTAAAACTATTAAAACTCAGGATGGACAGAGATTGCTGACAGCGTTTTACCACTGGAGCCAAATACAGTCATTAAGTAAGAGCAAATAGTTGCCATTAACTTTATAACTATTTACTTGCTATGTACTCTTGAAAAAAATCAATTTTAATTGCTCTCTTTCTATTACTTAGCACACTTCTGAAGGGGCTGTCTTTTCCATTGGTCAGGTTTTGTTCATGAACTGCAAGCTAATTTGAATACTCACTTAAGCCAAATGTTTATGACACAAAGGAAAACCAATCAAATGATGCAGCCACAGATTTTCTCCCCCTTTGCTAGCATTATTAATTGAATTAAAGCAAGTCATGCCGTCACACTTTATGTTCACTTCTTTGGTATAAATGCACATCTGTCTAAGTATCTTTACCTGTGTGCATATGTACTTATGCATAGATGTATATTTTTGTGTGTGCTTACATATGACATAGGTGACTATTTTAATATAGTTCATTAGGTAGTCTTTATTAATTTAAGAAGTATTTGTATCAAAATGTCCTAAAATCTCTACCTTTATTTATGTTTTGAGTAAGGAACAGGGAGTCACAGAAGGTTGGTTGAGAGTGTCTTAAACCTGGAGACCCTTGCTCCCTGAAGAGGATTCCCAGTAGTAGCTCTCATGGTCAGTGGTACTGCCCTCAGCAGCACAAATGAATGATACAGCCACTTCTCTTCCCATCTCGGGGCTGGCCCACTGAGGATGGAGGATTCCAGAGGAACTGAGGCTTGCACCACTCCTCCATGGAGGTTCCCTTGCAGCTGCATTGGGTTGTGTAGATTTGGATGTAATTTTTGTATATCCTCTGCATAAATTTACAACATTGGTAGGGAGGTGGTGTTAAGGTACCATGATTTCTGCAGAACTGTCAGCATTTCCCAGTGCCATGTGGCAGGGAGGTAGTTATTGTAGACAGTATCCCAACAAAACCCCAGGAAGTAGAGTCCCAGTCCTTGGGCCACACATTTGATATATTGATTAGATTGCTACTTTTACCTAATTGTCTTTTCCAGACTCTATAACTCTAAAATATGGACTGAGATAATTTACATGAAATACCTTAGGCCAAGACATCGATGTCTACATGGGCAGGTGCTAGAATGGAAACGCATGGGAGGAATGGTACCCACAGAAGTTTCATTTCATTGTAGGGAGCTCCTCCACCTCTTTCTCTGCTGTTTTTTCCCGGGTTCTGGGGGTGCTGCTCCTCTCTGTGCTGTTATTTCATTCCTAGTGCTACTTCACTGATGGCTGCGTTTCATTGACTTTCTAAGTGAACCCTCTTTGTATTGTTTGCTTGCAACCTCAGCACATGCCTCAGGACAGGAAGTTTTTACAAAGTCACAATTATCTGTGTTTTCCCTATTGGGCTGCTTCACATGTGATTAATCTTAGACCCAGCTGAGAATGGAAAAGATCCGAACCCAGGCATTCTAGCTCCTGGCTATGGATCCCTCCACTAGAGTGTGCTGCCCACTAAATAATCATTGATCACTGACCAAAGAGGATGGGGGGGGGGGTTTGCTAGGCAGGGTTATGGACGAAAACTTCTCATTGATCCTCAGTAACAAAGAAAAAAGTGCTGCATGTATGTTTTGACTCTTGTATTTCTCTTTTCCACCAAGTCAAGTTTTGTCTTTGTTCAGCCAACATCCTTATGGAGTGCTAGGTTTTTGAAAAGTTCATAGCCAGTACTTGGGGCTTACAATTTTAATCAGTGACTGACTGGCTGTTCTATGTAGGGCATGGCATTATAATTGTTCCATGCCTTTACTAGCTTCATTTATACCACAAGATTAAGAGTATTTACTTGTCTTGAAAATGTGGTATTAAATGCTCAAATATAGTATGATAAGCATGCCATATTACTTTACTAACATTTTTCTCAAGAGATTAGTAGGTTTTTTCTTTTTCCCCAGAAAATTACCAACATTGTGCATCTTGATTTTGGTGTGCATGTGATCAGTTCTTTTCCTTCTCTTTCTTTCTTGTTTTGGTACTGGGGATTGAACTCAGGGACACTTGACCACTGAGCCACATCCCCAACCCTATTTTGTATTTTATTTAGAGACAATGTCTCACTGAGTCTTTTTCTTTTTCTTTCTTTTTTTTTTTTTACTAGGTTTTGTAAAAGAGTTGAGGTCCACGATCATATGACATTAATGGTATATTGTTTCCATGACCGAACTTGAATACCACTTAAGCAATTGTTATCTGTAGAATAAGATAACTTAATTCATTTGAAAAAATATCTCTTAAGGAGTTTGGTTCAGGTTGCCTTTCCAAAGCTACTAAACATTTTGCTCGAAGAGCTTCTTACAGGAGGCCACAAGTTTAAGAGTTTGTGAGCTATGGTTGCATTAGGAAGCAGCAGGAGCAACATTGGATGTGATAAACTGTTAAGAATGACTCTTCCCAATACTACTTGTCTGCCATGCTTGGGAATGAGTGTGACTGTAGAAAAGTGTTCTTTTCTCATTGACAAAGTTGGGAGTCAAATCCAGCAAGCCTGTTTCTCCCTCCACACAGTTTCCCTTATTGGCAGCTTATGCCTCTGCCTCACAGAACCAGTTCCCTCTGCCTCTTTCCCTGCTGTTTTTTCCAGGGATGTTTCAGTTCATGGTGAACTATTTTTATTTTTTAGTTACATTAACGCTATGAAATAATTAGTCAGCTAATTAATCTGGTTTACAAGCTTTGTAGGATTCTTCAGCTGTCAGTCAGGCCCAGGCCCGAGGCCTCCCTCTACTCTCAGCTCTCTTGCTCATGTGATTCCTGTTGCCATGGCTACTGGCTACATCTGCTGACACCCACTCTCTATTTATTGCTTAATTAAGAATTTCACGCTCAGCCCTTATCTGCCTCTAAGAACAAGCGCACACTGTTAAGAAATTCCAAATTTAGGCCCAGACACAAGGAAAGCCTTTCTTAAGGGCTTGGCTGTATGGAGCCTCTCTAACGATCCTCTCGGCATCCCAGCCGCCACCCTTCAATCAAAAATCATTAAATGGGGCAGAGATAATGAGCATGTAGCATATCAAAAGAAGGATGTTTGCTTGGTCCAAAGGAGGAAAAGCTGCTAGGCCCCATGCTCAGCTCCACTTCAAAGGGAGATGAGACCCCCTCATCACTGGGGCCTGATAAAGCCTCATTTGTTCTGGGCTTGACTTATGCAAAAGGTCTGGTATGTCAGAGTCCCATCTCACAGACGTGAGCTCCCCCCCACCTCTTGCTTCCACCTCCACCAGCCCCAGCCCCAGCCTTCCCCACACTCGTGTGTCAGCACTTAGGCAGCTGGGTCCCCCAAAGCATCAGGCGGAGCGTATAATCACTGACTCTCCACTCACAATGGACACTTGTAGGGGGGTGACCAGGAGGAGGTCTTCATCACAATAGAAGCACAATTATTGCAGCTGCTGGGGAGGGCTGTGCTTCTTCCTGTAGAAATATAATAGGACTTGCCCAAAACAGGAGGTGAAGGTTGGGGGGTAGGGATGGGGGTTGAGAGGGGTGGAGAAACAATCTTGAGTTGATTATTCATATTCTGACTCTTGGAAGCCCGATGTGGAGCCAGTGGGGTTCCAGCAGCTGCTCGTACACAGCCCTCTTCTAATAATTGTACATTCTGTCAGGGGTCAACTTACTTTTGACCCTCTCCTTTTATATTGGTAAAAGGCTCTTTAGGGCAAACTGTTGGGTTGTGGCAGGGTGCATTAAATACTCAGAGCCCCTTCCCTTTGCTTTATCCCCCACCCAACCAGCAGCCGGTGATAAATTCATATCAGATGCTGCACCATTCACGGTTGCCCTCCTGAGTTCACACAGCCCCCACTCAGGCAGCAGAGATGCGGAGGAAGCTGGGATATTGTGTGAAGCAGCAGCTGAACAGGTCCGCCTGGGAGGCTCCAGAGGCTCCTGCTGCACTACCTTCTTCTGATCTGACTGAAAAAAGCCCTCTCTTGGCAGGCTGGCCAACCCACGTGTCCAAATGTCCCCCTCACCAAGATAAAGGCTGGCTGTGTGTCCAGGAGCCAGGGCTGTGCTCTACAGGGTGAGAGCACCGTGGACAGGAGGACAGATGGATTTAATTGTCTGTGCCAAGTTGCTTTGAAGAGCTCAAGTCACATCACACAGAGGGATCAGAAAATGTGCTGTTAACTTGGGGGATCTGAAATTAAAGAAGCTTTCCTGAGTTGGAAGCCAGGCTCAGGATCCTGGCTGT